GAAAGATACGTTCTCTAATTAGCACGTGTACCGTTTAGATCAGTTAGCATCTGTTAATGGGTTCGGGGTATTAGCGTGTTACCGCGTTAACAAAATTTCTCGCGTGACATACTTGGACGAAAGAACGACCTATGCAGCGATGCAGGGTAAAGAAATTTAGTCGAGAGCTGAGAATCTTTTGCAATTTAATCCTCCACGGACCACCTTCCGCAAATTTAAAACTCTCGAGACTCGATGCACCGATATTATCTCTTGAAAGAATATTTTGTTTTAATAATTGGAAGCTCAACGAAAGCTCTGCATACATTTCCCTTGAACAGTACACAAATTAAAGGTGGTACAAAAATTCAACAAAGTACAAATAGAGAATGCAAATAGAAAAAAATACCTAATCCAAATTCTTGTTTAACCCTTTGCACGCGTTGCTATGACCGAGAAACATATTTTGTGGCCCTAGGACCGCACATGTCCCAAGTTAAGTGGTAGACTATTTTATGTTCTTATTGCCAGCGTTGCCATGAACGAAAATCGCGTTTAAGTAGAAACGAGCGCTGGTAGTTTTGAATGACTATCGCGGCAGTACCTCGGCCTCACGGTAAAGTTTACACAAAAGCACTCTGTACGTAAAGGATTAACCCCTAAAAATGTCAAAAAATTGTATGAACCATTGGTATCGTACAAGGAACAAATCCCCAATGCATCCCCGTTATCAAAGAAACAATTAGCTTTTTAAAAAAAACAAAATTTGACAGGAGTCCTGAGGTCGTCGATAGACGATCCCTACGACCAGATGCGACGGAATCGTCTGGTGGAGCCGAGGACACGAGCCCGGAGTATCTCTCCCCACCGTCCATTGTCTCAACGCGATTCCCGGAGCCAGAGCGTGGCACGGAACACGAAGGAGCGAAAGGGCTCGATCGAAGGTACTTCCTCGAGATCCGAATGGTTCGACAAAGAGGCGGCCGCGAGCTACGAGGAAACGGGACGCAAGCAACGAGCGAACTTCACCGGTGCATCAACGGACGAATGGCTGGAGGAGGCGCCGCCGTTGCTCGCGGATCCGCGGAATCAGTCGGCCCCGACGAGCACCGGCAGGCTGGTTCGTATTCCGAAAAAGGTCAAAGGCACGAGGAACGATTGGTCGGATTGCGCGCTGGTGAAAACGGCGGAAACCAGTCAGACGAAAAGCAACCACCAAGATGACTGGAAGGAGAGGCCGTCGAGCGCCGGTGACTCGAGAAAGAGCATCCTCGAGTGCGACGTGAATCCGTATCTGTTGTTGAAGAAACAAAAGGACGAGGACGACCTGAGCGACGACCTGTCGGACAACGCCCTCGAGCAAGACGACGCGAGGCCGCTGTCCAGCCTGTTCGATTCCTCGAAAGTGAAATCGATCGAGAGGATACCGAACAGAAGCGCGGTCGCGGCGATCGGTGGCCAAAGGATAAGGGTGTTCAACGAGCCACGAGAGATCTCGGACGACGAGGAGGTCCCGCCGGTCACGAGGATTCCCATACCAAAGGTTTCACCGAAGCGACCACCGAGAAGGCTGAAGGAAGCCAAACAAACGCTGAAGAGTATTCTGAAGCGGGGGAAGGTACTCGAGACCAGGAGGAAGAACGTCCTGTTCAACGTCGACAACGTGATATTCGCGCCTGAGAAGCCTTCGGAGGTGACACGATTGTCTTGGAGCAGGATCGGCAGGATCGCTGGCTGCACCTCCGCCAGGGAACAACGGGGTAATGACGAGTCGGAGGAGGAAGAGGAGGAGGACGAGGAAGAGGAAGAGGAGGAGCCAGTAACCGCGCCGAATGATCAGAGAGAGAAGTATAATTTCATCACGATCCCGAATATCAGGGACCCGAAAGTGGACAGAGTGAGACCCAAGGAAGCCAGGGTCGCGCAGGATGTGTGCCAAAACCCCGTTAGCCCGGTTGTCGACGGGATTAAGGTAGATAAGCTCGTTACTTCTATTAATGTCGAGCGTGTCTTTAAGAAGAAGGAGAACGAGGTGCAGAGGCAATCGGAGGACATCGTTCCGCGAAACTTCGCCGATCAGACCGTTCACTCGCCGAAACGCGAGAACACGAGGGAAGATAACGAGGAGAGGAAGAGGATAGAGGAAGTGAACGAGATCAGGATGGAGGAAAATACCGAACTGCAGATCGAGATCGAGGAACGGAAGGATCGTATTCCAAGCATCGCTGTGGACGAGAAGGACTTGATATTGAAATCTGAGGGTAAGAGTTTAGATCGTTATGGTCATCTTCTATCTGCTTATCTTATATTTATATTTCTACAAAAGAAAAAAGATATATATATATATATATATTTGTTCGCAAATATTTGTGGATAGAAATGGAAACCAATATCTTGTATGTTTTCTCACAGTTAACAAATTGATATATTTAAATAATGATATTAAAATATCGACAACAATTCGCAATAAACTATTTTAAACAAAAACATTCACGCTATCTAGAAAATTCTTCTCTCTCTTTCTCTTTCACTCTTATTAACACGTGTTTACTCTTAGACGATTCTCACGAAACTGTTTTATTCTGGCACATTCTTTTAAACATTTTTCAAACATTATTCATACTATACTGCAATCGCACATATTATATTTATATCATCGCAAATGATTTTCACTTATTCTATCTCGTTCCCATTCACACATATTAAACTAACACTCACACTCCAACATAAACATAATCCAACATAAAACCAACAATCACAATATTGTGTATAACATTTTTTCTTCTTTTGACCTCTAGATAAAGCTATCTTACCTTATCGGGAAAATCTAGGACACCCTGTATACAGGGTGGGTCACCACATATTGCCATTTAGATGTACGTCATCATTATTACGATTGCGAAAAATGTTTCGGATGAAGTTGAATGCTTTTGAGAGAGGTATATTCTAATGGCACTAGTTTTTTTTGTAGATGAACGTGTAAAGGACATATGAAGGTCATTAACATTTTTTTAAATGGAATTATATACTTTTTATTACATCGACTCCTTCATATTCTTTACAAAAAAGTATTAACTTATTTATGTTAAAAAATCATTAGTTTAGGAGATATATTTTGTATTATCTCATTTATTTATTCTTATCTTTATCATTCTGGTATTATCGTTTTATCGTAATTTTTTTTCCTTTTTTTATAGAAATACTACTTGAAATAATACGTGCTAGGTTGATACAGTACTTGATCTCGAAGTCAAACAAGAATCTAGGCTGTCTATGTATCGTGTGCGACGCAACGTTCAGATTTATTTGATTTATTCCATAGATATCGGAGTTTATCGCGGCTCTGACACGAACTACATGAAAATTAGCATTTTGCAAACTGGCTATTGCTACACGATCGTTAGTCATCGTGTACTCAAATGGCCTTCCTCTCCGCGATTCGTCACTTCCAGAATCGTTTCTTTTTTGCACAAACAATAATAATTGCCTTCCTTCGGTAGTTTCTCTGGTCTAATACCATGGTCATTTTGGTTGCAAAATATTTTTAATATAAAAGATTACTTTAACCCGTAATAGACGATTCCAGATAATCGGAGATAATTTTGAGATAATTATGAATATAATCACGGCATTAGAACTATTTTCTAAATTATACATTATACATATATTCCCGTATTCGTAATTACAATGTTCAGCTGCTTATCGGTTGCAGTAAGATAAATGAAATGAAATACGTAGTTCCAAACAGCTCGTGTTAACTGAACTAAAAAGGTTTTGAATTATTGCTACTCGTAATTATAGACGTCTTTTTAAGAAAAACGTTTCGAACATGATAGCGTGATATCTGTTAACAATAATTATTTCTTGAAAAATTTCTTCATCTTAAAATTATAAATCTTCGGGCAATTTACGGAATAATTCCCCTTTCGCTGGGTATCACGAGCGTGTAATTATGCTTTTTAGAGATCTCGCGCGTTTTCTCTTCTTTTCATGGCTACTCACGGTCTCACACTTGCATGCGATTATACTTAATACAATAACCGTGCTTGTTTATCGAGAGACAGTCGTTCGTCGTTCATCTCTCAGATCTCTATCGAAAGTAAAATTTTATTACAAATCTTCCACGCTTCTTATACCGTATCATCCGTAAGTTTTAATTGAATTAATTTAATTTAACAAATCGCTCTTATTATCCAAATTTAACAACTCGTGCAAACGATTAAACGTGTGAGTATCTTGTAGGATTTTTGCTAGATTAATCCTATGCAGACAGAGATCTACGCGTCTAGTATACAATGACTTCTCTTCAATAACAAAACAGATTTATTTAACACTGGGTATATGCCTATTTTGCCTGAAATAAGTCAATTTGACTTAAACATCAAAATCGAAGTTTCTTATAAAAAATAAAATTTTATTTTAAACATACTTTATTCAAAACAATTTTTACATATATATTCTGTTTTTAAAATACATTTTTCGCAGATTTTTGCGAGCCAAGACACTCTCATTCGACTGTCATACAATTTAACATAGAAATAAAATCGTTCGCAAATTTGCAGAAAACTCGAAGCGATCATCCCTGTCGCGCAGTCAAAGCGAACGATCGTTCAACAGGCCAGAGGTATCAGCCGGCGATGTTCTTTTCATGGACACCATGCGTCTCAGCCTTTGCAGAAAGGTCAAAGAACCATCACCTTCCTTAGATACGAACGAGCAACCGATTCGACGCGAGGAATCCGTCGAACCCACGAAAGAAACGACGAAAAGTCCCGAGTTGGAGAAAGAGACTGACCCGTTAAAAGTGGAATGTCAGCCGGAATTATCAAACGCGCAGGAGATCGAAGAATTCCCAGCTGAAAGGATAGCCAAACCAGAAATGGAGCCTTCTACAGATGTTCAGAGCCACTATGAAGGAAACGGCGACCATTTCCGTGGGATGAGACCGACCAGTTGGTCCCCGCCGCCTGGCAAACAGAAGCATCGTTACAAGATCAACAGTTCCACGGTGAAGGCTAAAATCGTGGATCACAGCGAATCGGAACGCAGCAGTCCGCTGCTGAAAACCACTTGGAGCACGTCGAATTCCTACGGATCCTCGAAGGTCGAAATCGGATCGACGACCGCGGACAGCAACGTGTATAAAATCACGGTCAGTCCGCGAGCATCTCCTCTCGTCCACCGATTGCAGATAGGTCCAGGTACTAATGGATCGAGGAGGACGTCGATCTTGATCAACGGTGACACGACGCCCACCGCTGAGACATCGCCCGACAACAAGGTGACCATCAGCGTCGGTGGAGAAGACAGCGTCTACAATCCCACGGTGATCTCCGTGAACTCGGAGAATCCGCCTCGAATAAAGAGTTCCAGCGAGAATCGCACGCTCGTGATCCTCGACAACTACAAGTCCAACATCGTGATCGAGACCGGCAAGGAAGGCGCCAAAGAGAAACCGAAGTCGAAGCAAACGAAGACGAACGAATCGGAACCCGTGGAAGAGACGGAGCAGTCTCCTAGGAACAGCGAAGCATCCACGGGAGATAAAACGACGTCGAGTACTGCAGATACAAGCATAGACACCGACGATAAGCAAACGAAACCGAGTGCCGAGAGCAAGCCTTCCGTCACGGAGAAGGCCTCGAAGCTTTACGTAAGCAACGATCAAACGCGAAACGAGCAAACGGATCATCAGAAGGACGAGAATTCGTCGAATCTGCCGAACCTGTCCAAGGAGGCGTTGATCTCGAAGCTGCTCGAGGATTCCTTGAGAAAAGCCAGAGAGAATAGCGGCGAGGCTATTTTGCAGATACTGAAGCAGAGCTTGCTGAAGAGCAAAGAGTACGAGAGCTCGGAATCCACTCTCGAGGCCAATTACTCGAGAGCGTCCAGCTTAAATTCGGATGGTGACTTCATCTCGACGAATCTTTTCCTCGAGGAGAATCCTTACGAAGTGATCAAAGAGCCCATCTACGAGGAGATTCCCGATGAACCTCCACCTCTGCCGCTCAGTCCGCCGCCCACGGAGGATTACATAAAGGACAGGATATATTTCGGCGACATAGACTACTACAGAAAGAGCAACTCCGATCAGTTCCTTGGCACTTATCTCACGGATAATGTGTTCAAAAAATCCAACACCGTGGACCTCGCCGAGACCTACTTGTCCAAGAGTCCCGAAGACTTCTTCAAGAAAATGTCCACGTCGCCGGACGACGAGAATATCTCGAGTAAATTCGAGCTGCTCAACTTCCTCATGGACTCGAAAGATCGAGCGATATCCATCGAAGAGGAGGACGACGACGAGGTCGAGGACGAAGAGGACACGGAGGGAGATCTGGAAGCGCTGTACGAGCAAAAGGAGACCAGCCTCGGCGATCTCAGCTCGAAAAGCTCGCAAATATCCAACGTTTCCGATAGCAGCGAGGAATGCAATATTATACTAACCAGCTCATCGGAAACATCAAAAGTGAGTCTCGATCTTTCCTCTCCCTTTTTAATTTTATACGTTTAATCGCGACGATCCTTGGTATTATCTCCGTTCGTATCTCGGTTGTTGAAATATTCCTTATTTTTATTTTCCTTCCATTTTCATTTACAAGAAGAGTGCAAGTACTTTGGGTCACAGATTTAGTTGACACTTTGCAGATTTGTATATTTGGTCATCCAGTTAAAGAAAATGTATAATTATAAGGGCAACTACTCGATAGTTTTCGAGATTTTATGATTAGAGTTTTATCATTGCCTTAATTACAGATTTATTTCGAATATTTATCAAGTGCCATTGTGGCCTGATGTCAGTATTTAAAAATTCCCAGACTGGTGGCAATTTTCGAATGTGTCGTTACGCCACAATGCCACTTGATAACTATCGATAACTATTCGGAAGAAATCCTGAATCAGGATCAATATCCTAACTGGAATAAAGATGCCAAGACAGTGTTTTCTGTTGCAATTAGTAGATAAATCCGTCATAGAGTATCACGAATTGAGCTGGATGAGTAAATCTACAAACCCGCAAGGTTTCAATTAAATCAATGACCCGAAGGACTTGCACTCTGCTTGTTAGTTTCAAGAAAAATTCGTGGAGAGAAGCGACATTCTTCCTGCGTTATCAGGCTGCTGGGAATTCCTAACCACTCGCTTTGTATTTATAAATGTAAAACGCTTAAAAATTACTCGTGTTTACTTGGTAATGCTAATTTATATAATTACCTGTTAATTAGTGTTTCCTCAATTTAAACGGGAGTTAATAAATTTCCATACCTTGATTTTGAATTACGTATAATTAAATTCAAAAGGAACATGGTTCTTTCTCTATATTATATTCTAAAGTTCCAAGGGAATTACTCTCGTTAATTTGTTCACTCGGTATCATTACAAAAGTATTGAATTTTCGTGAAATGTGATCAGCCTTCTTTTCCATTGGGACCAATCAGCGGAGTGTGTATTTATAACATCAGCGAGGATGATTTTCCTTATTTCTTACATTTTCTTAATTACGCATTCATAAGGCAGCTCCCATTTAGTCGACGCGATAACGTCGCGTTTTTCGTTTCTTCGATTAAGTGTTTATTGCCCACGCATGCAGCTACGACAGCATGGCGCGTAACACGTGTAGCGATAGATCAGATAAGGATGGAAAAATCGTGATGCGAATTGTAATAGCTACGCTTTTTAAAGGTAAGGGCCGTAGATATAGAAAGAACTGATAGTGGAGTGGGATCAGAAAGCAGTCAAGCCAGCAGCACTCGGGGCGTGCCGAGACGTTGGAGAGCAGGAAATGTCTCTTCGGGACCAGGAAGTCTCCTCAGTGGAATCCCACAAGTGATTTCCGGTGATTCAAAGCACTGCGAGGACTGCGAGCAACGTTTGGATCCTCTAATAACGGACAGGTAACCGATGATACTGTAACAACATTGATTTGTTAGCGTTGAAAAGGAATTAATTTAAGAAAATGAATTTCAGACATTTTTCTTTTTATTTTATCTTGCATTATAAAATATAAAAAGGGAATATGAAAGACATTATATTCAGGAATTTCGGTGACTTTGTTTGATCAATTTTATGATTAAATTTGAAATAATTTTATAAGTTTGATACTCAGATATAGTAAAAGTTAAATTGCAATTTAGAAACTGGTATTTAAGTACTGGTATAGTGGTATACTGGTATAGTATATGCAATTTCAACATCGTGTCTAATTGTAATCGTGTCTAAAGAAAAACCACGTAATGGATATTCAGAATCATTGAATTGCGTTTTCCCTTGTTGATCCTGCTTACCGCAATAAGCGAAAGTTTCGTTACCGAGTACATATACATACGTCAGTCTTGAATAAATGCCAAGTTTGTTGCATATCTTTTCAAATTTATAATGCATCTCTAAACACGTGGAAATACGAGTTCTATGCTCTACAACGAAAGATATTTTATAAATGACACGTCAATTAGTTACAGAGACGCTTGGACGAAACAAAATAGTAAATTAATAATAAATATCTGCAATAAATATTTTAAAATCGCACTCTTAAAGTATAGAATTAGAATTTTTGGAATAATGATTAGCGAAAGGTAAAGTTTGTAAATTTGAGAATTGCATTTAATCGTTATCGTGTCTGTTTAGCGGTGTAGTGTACGCGCCATTCGTGTGCAGAAAATGCTCGAAGAAGAGGGTAGAGCGGAAAGAAATTATCACGGAAATTGTGGAGACTGAACAAAAATACGGGAGAGATCTACAAATTGTTCTGGAAGAATTCCACAGACCTATGCTAAGGGCTGGACTACTCACATCCGAACAACTTACAGCGATTTTTCTCAATGTGGAAGAACTTCTCGAGCACAACCTGGTGCTCGCGGAGAAACTGAAAGATGCCGTGGAATTTGCTCAGGTAAATAGACGGCCATTCAATATCCTCTTTATTACTTCTACATTCATTAACTCTCATTATACGTATTATACATTATCATGAGCAGATTGCATACCGAAAAAGGTTGAAGATAACTGCTTAAATCAAATATAAACGCATTATCTGCAATACTTGCATAATATCTAATTTTATAAATAAAAATATCAACGGTCCAAGTGTACATATATAGGTAGAAGTGTTTGAAATACTTTTTTCGGTATACCACTCGTCGCACATAGGCGTATGGTTTGCACTAGACGATTTAAAAAAATAAGCAAATAGAAATAAATAGAAATAATTAGCTCTTGTTTCAACGATTCACAGGAATCCGGGGACGAGGATCTCTTAACGGTGGATGTTGGAAAGATCTTCCTGGAGTCTGAGCGGATGTTGCATGCATTCGAAAGCTATTGTACCCGTCAAGGAAGCGCAAGCTTGTTGTTGCAGAATTTGGAGAAGGAGAAAGAACTGCTGCGAATTTTTCTAAAAGTTTCACAAATGGAAAACACCGTTTTGCGTAGGATGAACTTGAATTCCTTCCTAATGGTAAAAGCAATATAAAATTAATATAAAATTAATATAAAATTAATATACTTCTAGATCCGAAATCTGTGATCCAATTAAAAATTTTTTGGGGAAATTTTCTCTACGAAATTTTATTAAAAAAATTCTTCCTCCGAAGGTTCCCGTTCAAAGAGTGACGAAATATCCTCTTCTGCTGGCTCGATTACTGGAAGCTACGCCTTCTGTACGACCAGATATTCAAGAAGCAAAGGAGAGACTAAAACAGGCTCAGACTAATATAGAATTACATTTGGAACATATGAACGCTGTAAGTATATAAGTAACCTGTAATATAAATTTTAAATGAAGTTGGCTTTGATATTTCAATGTGTATGTACATATTACGTATATAATGAAAGAATTTCGTAATGCAATAACAGGAAGCAAAGGATGTGACATCGACGAAGCTTTGGAGAAGAATTTCAATTATTCAGAATGGTAGACGACCCATCGGTGAACAGGATATGGTGAATATAAAATTGAGAAAGGTAATGCTTAATATTGAGAGATACATCTACTTTGAAACGTATTTACTTAGTGCATCGTTGCATTATAAATTATAGTTGTATGTAAATTAATATAAGTTAATGCAACCATTAAATAACAGATGGCCGTAGAAGTACTAGAATGGGCACACGAAGAAGCAAAATTCGTGTTAGAAGGACGTCTCTTAGTTGCTCAGCCAACGGATAATAATTGGAGACGCGGACGTACCGTTAAGCTTGCCCCTGTGACTGCCATGTTGGTTACCAATGGCAAGGTGAACAACTTTTTCATACTTTTTTTCAATGATATTTATATGAAATTATATTTATTAACATATTACGATTTACATCGATTTATACATACGTGATCTGGTTACAGCCAAATGCAGAGGACCTGGAATTTAACGACGATTCTCTGTTTCCAAGACATATTGGTATTAAGGAAGCTACTTTACTGTTGGTTAAAGAAAAACTTGGACGTTATTCTTTATTGCGCGTAAGTTATTCTGGTAACTCAAAATCACATATAAATTTCAGTATTTATTGTCATGTGGAATTTTATGTATTTTAGGAACCGTTGTATCTAGATAAGTGTATAGTATGTTGTGAAACAGACCTTGAAGATTATTTTGAAATTCAAGAGTTGTCCTCGAAGGAAACTTTTATATTTAAGGTAATATTTTTATTATCTATCATCGTTACTATCATAGAAAATAAGAAAATAATGCTCTTTGATATATAACCTACAGGAGATTTACATAATTTTCATTGTGGTAGCGTTACAAAAATAAAATTTTCATTTGTAAAGTATTCGATACTACTACGTTTGCTATATATTATGGTTTAAGCATATAGAAATATTTTATTAATAATCTTCGTTTTAATTATAAAAAATATTATGTCGCAGGCCGAAGATGGCGCCAGAACAAAGAGATGGTGTAGAACACTACAAGTTCATGCACAATCCCTCGGTGCATGGCGTAAACGTCGCGGAGCATTGCCAAATATCATGATATGCGGTGTCGCAAGAAATTGATGAAAACACGACACGATTAGATATAAAAATAGAATCCAAATTTACAACTATTATTTAAAGGTGATTATGATTCCTAAATGCACACGAATGACCATTCGTGAAATCGATTAAACTGGCGTATAATCTCCAGATGAATTAGTAGTGATTTTTCACTACTAATCTACTTTATCAGGAGAATGTATGTGTTGAACCAAAGGATTTCCTCTGCTCATTGATGGAACATGTCAATGAGTAATAAGAAAATCTAGTTCTTGCCGTGCGCAAATTATTTTGCGTTCGGTTACAGTACGTTGCAGAAACTTCAGTTTCCTACGTCGCTGTAGTCAACACGTTGTACAACATTATATCGCGTTACAAACACTTCCTTTCTTTTCTCCTGAATACTTCAACTACGCATGTATACCGGATGAGTAATTACCCATAAGCATTATTTAATAATTGCGTTGAAATTGAAAGAGCAGAGAGTAGCTGTGATACTGACCGGTGTATTGGGTATTTCCATCAAATTATATCAAATACCGTGGTACGAATCTGAGCTTTTATTCTTGTAGACTTCATGAATGACATTTAACTTTCGCGAAAATAAATCGATAATAATGTACATAATATTAAAATGAGGTAATAGGGTTGTTATACTTTGTACCTACGATTTATGAGAACCAAGAAACTGCCAAATGTTTCATAAAACCAGGCTTGATAATGATTTATAAATTAATTAATCTACTATATTCCATAACTATCCATTGAATAATAATTAACAGTATTTTATGTCGTCTAACACACAAACTAGAAATTGTACTATAATACATTGTACTATAATTTTATTTAAGACCTAAGCCATATGTTTTGTATATAGATGTATATTTATATTGAAATTGGTTTTAGACATAATTGTTATCTTAAATTCATCATTCAATAAAAATCAAATATACTTACTTTCATGCTGTATATTGCAGCATGATCCATACTTTTTTTATTTTCTTTAACAGAGTGATTTTTCATATATGTTAAATAAATAAACAATAAAAATAAATAATAATAAAATATAATTAATAACAAATAAGTATCATTTTCCAATAATAATAAGAAAAGCAAAATGAACAAAATTGATATTTTGTATACTTAATAATAGAAATTTAATAACACTTGGACACGAATTTTAATCTGCAAAATACATTGGGTAATTCTTATAGAATTTACTTTCATAAACACTAATCCGTAATCGAAATTGCTGTATCATACTCAATTTCCAAAAAATATGAGTTTTTGTTCAAAATAAATATTATTTAGATAAAAAGTAAGACCGTTAGGAGGTACATTGCTGTACTACAAGCTACATGAGAGTAATCCGAGTTTATCAATGTCCATAATTATAATTATTTGTGCCTCTGATTAACTGTAATTGGTCATGAAAATTTACAAATAAGTTCCTGAACATACTTCCTATACATAATCTTGCAGTTTTACAAAAAGCTCTTTATCTGACACGAATTTGTTACACAGGAGGGTATTCAGTGGGCTTTTCTGAAGAAGAAACCATGAAACAGAATTGTCGAAACAATTTTCAATTCGATTACACCGAGAAAATATTCGTCGGTAACGTGTATACACGATTTTACCACTACACAACCATTGCTCGCATCTATAAGTAGTCTCGACAGTGCCGTAGCTACACGTGATCCAAGTGCTTACCAAGTGTATTACCAAGAACTACTTACTAACAGCTAACATATAAAAGTCTACGAAAGAAAAATAAAATTCATTATGACTATACAGACAAACAAGATAAGTATATATGTATTTATTTCTTGTATTTACAACGGTGATATTTATACATATTTTCGATCTTCGTTTGTGATCTTTATACTGTCCAAATTCTAAACAATCAATAATATATTAATTAATAATAAAGATATTATTAGTGAAGATAAACTATCATAATTAATAGTAAATATTGTTTACGTAAAATAACTGTTAAATAACTGTGTTAAATATCTGTTGGTGATTATTGCATAGGGTGTTTCAACCATTGCCGAAAATACTAATGGTTTATCTTTCTATTAGTAGAATGGAGTAATTAATAATTCAAGTTCATGAATTAATTATAGAAATTTGGAACTTTTCGTAACAAAAATATATTTATATCTACTTCGTTGATATTAATAAATATAAGAAACATCGATAGATGTTTTATATCGATACTTTAGCACATGGATATTTCAAAGACGAAGCATCTTCCCGCGAAAACAAGGCACAGCTTTGTCCAATCGCAGAACACTTTCAGTCGATGCGAATTCAACGTGTCGGTATCATATGATAGAATATTTACACGCGTTAAAGTGAAACTTTCAGTCTCTAAACAAAACGTTTCGTGAAATATTGTTATCCCTGATCAGTCTTTTAATTATTGCAACTGACGAAAGGAATTTCAAAAACAATAATACGCAATATCAGTTATTATTTCGGATAATTGAACGATTTTTGTAACATCGTCGTGATATGTACGAAAGGACCACAACAGAAGATTAAAAAATTGAGAGAACTTTACCACGCCCAGGATAAATAACTATGAACATTTATTCGGTGGTAATATGCCACATGTGGAAAAAGTGAAAGTGCAAATCGTCTAACGATACATGTGCTAAATAAACTGCTGTGAGTCCGAATCATATGATACAATAGAACAATAACGTATCATCGATCGTAGATTGCAGAATTCCATCGTCTAATGGAACATTGGTTAGCAGTGTACGTAACAGGCCGTTTCTTAATACTTTTCTCAATCTTTCTACGATTTCGACGGTGCATATGTGAAATAAAGTGATGCAAGTGTAAGTGTGTGTCAAATCGTGCTGTGTCGTTACGCGTTGTTTAGATATTCGAAATTTCGATCTTGTATTGGCATATTTCGATATTACTAGATAGAATAGACTGTTTCCTAATCAGTAGGCTCATTTTCTCCAATTTCGATGGTTCATTTTTGACCTATAGTCATGGAAGTGTGAGTGCGTGTGAAATCATATTACCTCATTACCTTCCTTCGATTAGATAGATGAAATTCCAGCTCCGGTTAGAATATTTCATTATCACTCGTTAGAGTAAACTTTTCTCAAATCAGCAGACCTAACTTTTTTCGATTCTTTCCGTTTTTTTTCCAAATCCAGTGCCGAAAGTGAAAGGATGTGGAAAGACGTACTGCGTAGTTATATCTCGTGGCTTATCTCTCTCATAATCCGGTTTCGGATTCTGATTTTCTTATATCACTAGATAGATCCTTCCCTCCTCTAATAGAATCAGTGGTTCTTTTTCGATTTGATTGATTTTTTTTCGAACTACAGTGCCGAATATGGGAGTGTGTGACAGGTCGTACTGCGTCATTATATCTCGTGGCTTATCTCTCTCATAATCCGGTTTTGGATTCGGATTTTCTTATATCACGCGATAGATCCTTCCCTCCTCTAATAGAATCAGTGGTTCTTTTTCGATTTCCTTGATTTTTTTTCGAACTACAGTGCCGAATGTGGGAGTGTGTGGCAGGTCGGACTGCGTAGTTATCTCTCGTGGCTTATCTCTCTCATAATCCGGTCTAGGTTTCGGATTTCCTTATATCACTTGATAGATCCATCCCTCCTCTAATAAAATCAGTGGTTCTTTTCCGAGTTTAGTGATTTCTTTTCGAACTACAGTGCCGAATGTGGGAGTGTGTGGCAGGTCGGACTGCGTAGTTATCTCTCGTGGCTTATCTCTCTCATAATCCGGTCTAGGTTTCGGATTTCCTTATATCACTTGATAGATCCATCCCTCCTCTAATAAAATCAGTGGTTCTTTTCCGAGTTTAGTGATTTCTTTTCGAACTACAGTGCCGAATGTGGGAGTGTGTGGCAGGTCGGACTGCGTAGTTATCTCTCGTGGCTTATCTCTCTCATAATCCGGTCTAGGTTTCGGATTTCCTTATATCACTTGATAGATCCATCCCTCCTCTAATAAAATCAGTGGTTCTTTTCCGAGTTTAGTGATTTCTTTTCGAACTACAGTGCCGAATGTGGGAGTGTGTGGCAGGTCGGACTGCGTAGTTATCTCTCGTGGCTTATCTCTCTCATAATCCGGTCTAGGTTTCGGATTTCCTTATATCACTTGATAGATCCATCCCTCCTCTAATAAAATCAGTGGTTCTTTTCCGAGTTTAGTGATTTCTTTTCGAACTACAGTGCCGAATGTGGGAGTGTGTGGCAGGTCGGACTGCGTAGTTATCTCTCGTGGCTTATCTCTCTCATAATCCGGTCTAGGTTTCGGATTTCCTTATATCACTTGATAGATCCATCCCTCCTCTAATAAAATCAGTGGTTCTTTTCCGAGTTTAGTGATTTCTTTTCGAACTACAGTGCCGAATGTGGGAGTGTGTGGCAGGTCGGACTGCGTAGTTATCTCTCGTGGCTTATCTCTCTCATAATCCGGTCTAGGTTTCGGATTTCCTTATATCACTTGATAGATCCATCCCTCCTCTAATAAAATCAGTGGTTCTTTTCCGAGTTTAGTGATTTCTTTTCGAACTACAGTGCCGAATGTGGGAGTGTGTGGCAGGTCGGACTGCGTAGTTATCTCTCGTGGCTTATCTCTCTCATAATCCGGTCTAGGTTTCGGATTTCCTTATATCACTTGATAGATCCATCCCTCCTCTAATAAAATCAGTGGTTCTTTTCCGAGTTTAGTGATTTCTTTTCGAACTACAGTGCCGAATGTGGGAGTGTGTGGCAGGTCGGACTGCGTAGTTATCTCTCGTGGCTTATCTCTCTCATAATCCGGTCTAGGTTTCGGATTTCCTTATATCACTTGATAGATCCATCCCTCCTCTAATAAAATCAGTGGTTCTTTTCCGAGTTTAGTGATTTCTTTTCGAACTACAGTGCCGAATGTGGGAGTGTGTGGCAGGTCGGACTGCGTAGTTATCTCTCGTGGCTTATCTCTCTCATAATCCGGTCTAGGTTTCGGATTTCCTTATATCACTTGATAGATCCATCCCTCCTCTAATAGAATCAGTGGTTCTTTTTCGATTTGTTTGATTTTTTTTCGAACTACAGTGCCGAATATGGGAGTGTGTGACAGGTCGTACTGCGTCATTATATCTCGTGGCTTATCTCTCTCATAATCCGGTTTTGGATTCGGATTTTCTTATATCACTCGATAGATCCTTCCCTCCTCTAATAGAATCAGTGGTTCTTTTTCGATTTTAGTGATTTTTTTTCGAACTACAGTGCCGAATGTGGGAGTGTGTGACAGGTCGTAATGCGTAGTTATCTCTCGTGGCTTATCTCTCTCATAATCCGGTTTTGGATTCGGATTTTCTTGTATCACTCTATAGATCCTTCCCTCCTCTAATAGAATCAGTTGTTCCTTTTCGATTTCCTTGGTTTTTTTTTCGAACTACAGTGCCGAATGTTGGAGTGTGTGGCAGGTCGTACTGCGTATTTATTTCTCGTGGCTTATCTCTCTCATAATCCGGTTTCGGATTCTGATTTTCTTATATCACTCGATAGATCCTTCCCTCCTCTAATAGAATCAGTGGTTCTTTTTCGATTTTAGTGATTTTCTTTCGAACTACAGTGCCGAATGTGGGTGTGTGTGGCACATCGTACTGCGTAGTTATCTCTCGTGGCTTATCTCTCTCATAATCCGGTCTAGGTTTCGGATTTTCTTATATCACTTGATAGATCCATCCCTCCTCTAATAGAATCAGTGGTTCTTTTGCGATTTTAGTGATTTTTTTTCGAGCCAC